ATGGTTTTTTTATTATTATTATTTTTTTTTTGTATAGAGAAATTTACTTGATTCCAGAACCTTGGAAAGAATGTTAAAGGAAAAAGTTTATAATGCTATTAACCTAACTTTATTATCTGCATTAATTTTGTGAGAGAAACAAGATAAGTGCAAACAAAATATGGGTTATACATTTAACGTCCTCATGTTCTCAAAGCAAAATTGAAGGTGTATTCTCTCTCCATTTAATACAATATGTGTTTTACTTTTAATTATGATGTACATATTATTTTATATTTTTAAGCAATTATTTAGTACAGTAGTCAATAGAGCTAATAATGTATACACTTGAACCATACGAGCCCGAATTTGGGTAAAATTTTATATATGAAAATATAATATGGTTACAAAATTATTTAGAAATACACTATTTTAACAAATCGTATATCCTATTTTGCATTTGGACCTTATCAATATGACGCACAAAATTTATCATTTGTGGTCATATTTAAGTTTAAGAGATTGTTTCATGAATAAAAAACTTTGGCTCCACAAACTTTTCATTTTTACATTCATATTTTTCAAAATGCACAACATTTAATGTCAAGAGGGAAGTTAAAATTTTCAATTTTGGAAAAGTTTGCATTTGGTTGATTGTAATACAATTAGATTTGCTATTTTACTCAAATTTTGCTTGTAAAAACATGCATTAAATACATACTTAGGAGAAGAAAAATGTGAGTTGGGTGACATTAAAAATAAGAAAAATAAGATAGAATTGAATGGTGTTATAGGGGTAAGTTAGGAAAAATTAATAAAATATACAGTTAAACTACCTCATTAATCTTTGTGTAAATTTTATTTATGTGAAGGGAGCAGAGGGAATACTATCGACACAACTCTTAAAATGGTATTAGGAAAGTTATTAAAAATTGTGTGTGAAGTAAAAAAGTAAGGGTAAAATAATTTTCAGCTAAGGAATTGCATTTCCCTATGGTGAGAGAGGAAAGTAAGGTAATGTTTACCCAAGCTAAATAAACCAGGAAAGTGTAACGTCTATGAAAATATATAAAATATTTGTATTTTGTTTAGATTATCAATTTTACTTCTCCAGAAGTAAACCATCCAACTTTCCTTATACAAGAAAAGTAACTTCCTTAGAGATGATTAGCAAAGTTACACTTCCCTAATTAAGTTTAACAGATTTACCACTTTGTCCTACTATTTAAGCATATTTAAATTTATATTATGATTAATTTATATACCAAACATATTTAAATTATACTTCTTGAAAAATTATTTCCTTGGAAATGTATCTTTCTAAAAAATATTACCATTATGAACCAAACGAGGCTTGAATTCTTGTACGGTCAACCACTCTCTCTTATTCTATCTATTACATTTCTATATATACTCTCTATTTCTTACATTTCATAATAATTTTTAATTTTTTTAAAGATTATTTTTCTAATTATAGTGTTAGTTTTTGTAATTCTATCTCTAATGTTTAGCTTTTAATTAAAATTTTTTGGCAATTATATTATTATTTTTTTCCTTTGAATTCAGTAAATAGTTAATGTCTTTTTTTTTGCATTTTCAAATTAAATAGTTAATTAAACTTTATCCAATACTTTTAATTTAACCTGCTATATAAATAGTTAAAAGTACTAAATATACTGATAATGTTAATATTTAATATCTAATGAAGTATAATTTCATTCCAGTATAATTACTTAAATATTATATTTTAATTACTTGTATTTTTAATAATTTTTTTCTAATAAATTATGTTAAATATTCTAAACTTTATATTCATTTTGGATAGCAATTATACTAGAATGAAAATTTCTAATTATATAATGTTTTTATTATTTGTCTTATTCATACTTACCTTAATAGTTAAATACATAAATTTATATCACATGTTACCACTTCAAACATTGTATAGATAAAAAGTTAATTTAAAATAAAAAGTAGATTACAAATGAATAAAGAGAAAGCAATACACATGGATAAATACATCAATTTAAATTCAGTTAAAAATTCACATATGTTCAATCTAAAAATATTATGTAATATTTAACACAATTTGAAATTAAAATTAGCTATTTATTTCTAATTATGTTTTTGGAGTTAACAATAAATTCGGAAATGAAACTCTGATAAAATTTTGTGGAATTGGAAATGACTTTCAAAAAAACTTAATTAATTTTTGGGTAGATGATATTTAATATTTATTTTTAGTAGAACAAGGAGGTACAATCTTTCGGACAAGTGTAAAATTTTTTAACCCTCTTTAAATAAGTGTGTTGCTGAAGATCAGACCTGCTGTGACATCCCAGGTTTGGGGCACAACACCTTAGGCGAATCCCACATCGGCTACGCACAAGGTGAAAGTCCTATACATAAAGGGTGGCAACCTAATCTATTAGGAACAAGTGTAATAATTTTTTTAACCCTTTAAATAAGCTTGTGTTGCTGGAAGATCAGGACCTGCTTTGTGGACATCCCAGGTTTGGGCAAACAACACCCTTAGGCGGGCGAATCCCACATCGGCTACGCACAAGGTGAAAGTCCTATACATAAAGGGTGGCAACCTCGAACTAGTGTGATGCGTTTTGGGCTGGCAGAGCAGAGGTTTCCCTGGCCCAGAAATAAAAAACAGCCCAGCCCTAGTGTGATATTGTCCGCTTTGGGTGCCAAACATGGCCTGAACCCTCACGGTTTTATTTCTGAGCCAGGGAAACCTCCGCTCTGCTAGCCCAAAATGCGTTACACTAGTTCAAGATTGCCACCCTTTATGTATAGGACTTCCACCTTGTGCGTAGCCGATGTGGGATTCACCTAAGGTGTTGTGCCCCAAACCTGGGAAGGTGTTGTGCACCCCAAAACCTGGCGATGTCATCATACCACCCCCCTTAGGACACTCAGCGTCCTTCGCTGAGGCTTGCCCCGACCACCAGCCAGAAGGACAAGCTTGGCTCTGATACCAAATACCGTGTTAACAGCCCAGCCCTAGTGTTTGTCCGCTTTGGGGTGCCAAAACCTGGCCCTGAACCCTCACGATTTTGTTTCCTGGGCTAGGGAAACCTCCACTCTGCTTAGCCCAAAACGCGTTACACTAGTTCAAGGTTGCCACCCTTTAATGTATAGGGACTCCTACCTGCATAGCGATGTTGGGATTAACTAAGGTGTTGTGCCCCAAACCTGGATGTCGCCCACATACACCCCACCCTAGGGACTCAGCGTCCCTCGTTGAGGTTCTGCCCCACCACCAGCCAGAGGACAAAGCTTGGCTTTGATACCAAATTGTAACAAGCCGAGCCCTAGGGTGTGATATTGTCCGCTTTGTAGCCAACCAGGCCCTGAAACCCTCACAGGTTTCTTGTTTTCTGGCACTGGGGAAAACCCTCCCGCATCTGCCAGCCCAAAACTGCGTTCACACTAGTTCAAGTGGCCACCCATTTATGTATTAACGAGACTTCCACCTTGTGCGTAGCTACCGATGTGGGATACGACCTTAACGGTGTTGTGCCCCAACAAACTGGAGATGTCACCAAAGTTCAAGGCCAGGTTTGGCAACCCAAAATGGACACATATCACACTTAGGGCTGGAGTGTTAACATGGTCAGACCCAAACCCCTCTCGAGCTGGGTCTGGGTCAACAAAAATAAGATTAAAAAATGTGATGCTGAAGTTCTCCTTAAGGGGGAATCATCCCAGGTGTTGGGGGCACAAACACATTTAGGTGAATCACATCGGTCTACGACAAGGTGGAAGTCCTAATACATTAAAGAGGTGGCAAACTTGAACTAGTTGTAACGCATTTTCTAGAGCTGGTGCAGCGCAATGTGTTTCCTAGCCCAGAAACAAAATCGTGGAGGTTTCAGGGCCAGGCTTTGGACCCAAAGCGGAACAATATCACACGTTAGGGTGCGGGTTGTTACATATTTGGTATTCAGAGCCAAGCCTCTGATCCCAATTGAGCTGGTGGTGCGGCAAACCTCAAGCGAGGACGCTGAGTTCCCTATAAGGGGGTGTATGTACATCCCAAGTGTTATGGGGACTAACACTAGGCGAAATCACCACATCGGCTACGGCACAAGGGTAGGGAAAAATTTTTTTTTTTTTCAAATTAAATGCAACTAAACTAGGTGTACGGGGTTGGCAGAGCGGAGGTTTCCCTGGCCCAGAAACCAAAACCCTGAGGTTCAGGACCAGGTTTGACACCCAAACATAGCGAAACAATATTCACACTTAGGGCTGGGCTTCTTACCAATCTCACATTTTACGTGGAATAAAATTGTTTACCGGTCCCAACAACATATTATTAATAGTCTATATCCAATATCTCTAATTCTCAATCCAAAAAATATTATAATATATTATTAATATAATAATGGTATATTATATATATATTAATGAAAATTGTTGTGCAACTATAATAATAATATAATAATAATAATAATAATAATAATAACAATAATAATAGTAAAAGTTAATTCTCTGCAATACTTAAAACTTTATCAAAGTAATTTTTATAATATATATATACTAACACATAATGTCAACTAATAATAATAATAACAATAATAATAGTAAAAGTTAATTACTTGAATACTAAACTTTATCAAAGTAATTTTTTTCATATATTTATATATTATTATCACATAATTTTTAATGCAACAAATTAATATCAATAATCAAAAAATTATTAAAGTATCAGAATTATTAAAAATATTTTATTAAAAGTATTATGTTTTTTTAATTAAAAATTTGTTTCACATATTTAACTTGAATAATAGTGTAATAAGTTGGATTCACGTTTTCAATTTTAAAGTATTGTTTAAACATTAAACTTATAATTCTAATTTAAGTTTAATTTTATTTCAATTTCAAATCTAATTCAATTTAAATAAAACAAGTATTAGAATTTATTATTCAAAAAAAAAAAGTATTAGAATTTATTAAAAGTATTATGTTCTTTTTGGGCAGTCAAAAAATGGAAAACAAAAGAAAGCGCCCATCCTTGAACCCGGACACAACCATGTATAGCTGATATGGCAAAATGCTATTGGTTATTAAACAATGCCCACTAACTGAGCACGTCAAGGCAAACCCGCTTCGCCTGTCAATCGGACGGTTAATCGCCAGTGTTCACAATCACGGCAGCCGGCGATGCCAAATCTCATCGACACTTCAATCCAATGACATTGATTCCTCTCTCCAATGCCCTCTCTCTTTCTGTCAAGACCAAAACCTTCCACTTTCTCAAAATTTCACCCCCATACAAGAAAACAACACTTGGAAAAGCTTCCCTGCATAGTTAAATCCCTTCTTGATCTGTCCTCTCAAGGCCAGCTCTCACAAGCAATCGCCTCTCTTGGGCTCTTATCACGCAAAGGCATACGCTTGCCGTCTCAGACACTAGCTCACCTCATCCAACAGTGTGCAAACACCAAATCGTTTAAGTTAGGCAAACGGGTCCATCTCCATTTGAAGTTAACTGGATTAAAAAGACCCAATGCATTTTTGGCGAATAATTTAATCGCTATGTATTCGAAATGCGGTGATTATAAAAGTGCACACAAGGTGTTTGATGAAATGTCTATGAGGAATTTGTACTCGTGGAATAATATGCTTTCTGTGTACGCTAAATTGGGAAAAATAAAGGCGGCTAGGAAGTTATTTGATAAAATGCCAGAGAAAGACGTTGTTTCCTGGAATACAATGGTTATTGCCTATGCGCAGAGTGGGTTTTGCAATGAATCTTTGAGGTTTTATAGGGAGTTGAGGAAGTTGGGAATAGGATACAATGAGTACAGTTTCGCGGGTCTATTGAAAATTTGTGTGAAGTCCAAGGAGTTGGAGCTTACTAGACAGGGTCATGGGCAGGTTTTGGTCGCTGGATTTTTATCGAATTTGGTAATTTGTAGTTCCATTCTTGATGCCTATGTAAAATGCAGTGAGATGGTCGATGCAAGGCAGTTGTTTGATGGGATGAATGTGAAGGATATTCTTGCCTGGACAACAATGGTATCTGGGTATGCTCAATGGGGTGACATGGAGGCTGCTAATGAGTTGTTTGATTTGATGCCCGAGAAGAATCCTGTTTCATGGACAGCTTTGATTTCTGGCTACGCTAGACATGGTTTAGGGCACAAGGCACTTGAGTTGTTTACAAAGATGTTGATGCTTCATATTAGACCTGATCAATTTACTTTTAGTAGTTGTCTTTGTGCTTGTGCTAGTATAGCTTCACTTAATCATGGCAAACAAATACATGGTTATTTAGTACGCGCCAATTTCAGGCCTAATATGATTGTTGTGAGCTCTCTTATAGACATGTATTCCAAATGTGGAAATTTGGCAGTTGGTAGGTTGGTTTTTGACCTCACGGATAATAAGCAGGATGCTGTCTTGTGGAATACTATGATTTCAGCCCTGGCACAGCATGGTCTCGGGGAAGAAGCTATTCAGATGTTCAATGATATGGTTAGATTAGGCATGAAGCCAGATGGGATAACATTGGTTGTTATTCTCAATGCATGCAGCCATTCAGGTCTTGTGGATGAAGGGCTTAGATTATTTGATTCCATAACTCATTTACATGGCATTGTGCCCAATCAGGAACACTATGCATGCTTGATTGATCTCCTTGGTCGAGCTGGGCATTTTGACAAGTTAATGAATCAACTAGAGAAAATGCCATGTAAACCAAATGATCGGATTTGGAGTGCCTTAGTTGGTGTTTGCAGAATCCATGGAAATATAGAATTGGGAAGAAAAGCAGCTGAACAACTTATTCAATTGAGGCCTCAATCCTCTGCCTCCTATGTATTATTATCAAGTATCTATGCTGCACTTGGGAGGTGGCAATTGGTGGAGAAGGTGAGACAGCTTATGGACGAGAGACGTGTAAGGAAGGAACGAGCTATTAGTTGGATAGATATCGAAAGTAAGGTGCACTCTTTCACTGTATCAGATAGATTGCACCCTTTAAAGGAGGATATTTATTCCGCCTTGGAACAATTAGCTGGCCATGAAGAAGAAGAAGTTGCATCACCTGATAATGAAAGGTAGCCTTTATCCTTGCTTTTAACCAGCTAGTCTTGAGAGATATGTACAAGTTTTAAATTTATGTTCTGTTTTACGCATCTTATGACATTTTAGTTGACTTGAATAGGCAGGCCTTCCAGTGTGGATGATTGTAGTTCAGTTTTGCAATTTGTAGAATTGAATCTCCCGATTGTTATGAGATTATTCTAAAGACATACAATAAATTTCTGGAAAGATAGTTTGCTTCGTCTTCTGTAATTGTTTTGATTTACTATCTATCTAATAAATTGGTAAAAGCTACTTTCTTTCTTCAGTTATTCTTTCTTCTCTTGTGGGTTTCAATTTTCATCTTTGTGAAGTAACATTAATCAAAGTCATAGCGGTTTTGCTATGTTTTCTGAATTTATACATACACGATATAAGTTAATTTTGCTTAAATTCTTTCTTCTATGAAGAGTTATGTACATATCTACTCAACTCACCAATATGATCTAAGCTGTTATATGTATTGGTGAGTTTGGCTAAGTCCATGTGGGTAGGATGGGGATTTAGTTGAGATTATTGAACCACAAGATTGGAATATCTTGTGGTGTTGTTGAGGACCAAAGCAACCTGGTCTAATGCAAACAAATTATTCACGCTTAAAATTATAATATAGAAGAACAAACTGATAACTAATTATAATAATAAAAATGGAATTCTGGTTTTGGCAGGATCTACCTGATTGTCTGCTTGGGCTTCCATTGGTTTTTAGCTATACCTTATCTTTTTAACATGCAGCTGAGCGTTGTGCTTGTCTCCATTCCTATTTTCTGTTCTTAGCCATCTTATTCAAAATTGAAGATGTTAAGAAGCACTTGGTATTTACTTTATAGCTGAGAGCTTCAGCTTGCTCAATTTTCATTTTAGTTGCTTAAATATTTAGAATTTTTCTTGGTACTTTCTGCTTACATTCTTCTTGCTCTTGTATTAATCTAATAACTTTTGCAAGTTTATTTATGGATTAGCTTTACAACTATGAGAAGTGGACAGGTGAGGGAAATGGACCCTAAAGATGTTCTATTATATATAACACCAAGGAACACAATGGATATTTATAGAATTCAGACTTGGTACTATGTAACTGTGGCATGTTCAATTGTAGAACTAACAGGTAAATATAGTAGAATCCTATTTTGGCGAAATTAAAACTCCACTGTAGATGATCCATGCTAGAGGGTATGCAAATCAGCAGTTTGGTTCCGAGAACTGCAAAAATTGAAGACTGAACTTCGCTTTTTATTGAAACTGAATCCCACTGAAGTAAGTTTAACTGAACTGCCTATATGCTAGCGTGGATTATCCAAGAATTTGTGAATAGAAAGTTGCACAAAATAAATTCCTAATTAAAAAAAGAAACTACATAGAGGTCAAGACATAATCTAAAAAAAGGAAATTATAACTTTCTATTCAATGTTATGCTCCCTTGCCTACCACACTGGAGCAATTTTAACAATTTGCTATGATATCTTAAAAGGTCTGTTTGCTCGATGTTTTAGTTTGCCATAACGAGCTTGTGGAGATTTTTTTTTCCTTAAATAAATCTACACTGATAACCTTTTTTAAAACCAGAAGGCGTATGAAACTTATTGTTCTTGCTACTGCTCATCTTCTTCAATATTCATCCTCATACTTGCTCATGCAGCTTCTTGATTTCCTTAGTTCTTTCTTCAGCATTTGCACTAAAATGTTGATGAGTAAAGTAGAAATCCGATGCATTAAGATTCTTATTTCACGGCACATAATGAGTTATTTTAGTGAATCGATCAACAACTAGCAGTAGAACGTCGTGCCAGTTAAGGAACATTAAATCACATACTAGCAATTTATAAGAATAGATGGGCTTTAGCTGCCATCTGGTTCGATATCTCAAAATTCTTTTAAGCACTTAAAGTCCATTTGAATTTCTCTTTTTCATCAACTTTGTGATTTGAGCAGCAACAGTACCGAAGTTATTTATAATCCGGCGGTAGAAAGATCTCAATTCATAAAAAAATTTGAATATCTTGCATTGACTGAAGTTTAAGTCTGTGACAGCTTCAATTTTACTAATATCCATCTAAATTCCTTTACTTGCCACTATATATTTAAGGAATATTACCTTGTAAGTTAAGAAGTGATACTTCTTCAGATTAGCATATAACTTCTACTCTCTCAGGACTTTAAAAATCTTATGAAGAGATGTAAAATTTCTCCAAGTTTTCAAATATGCACTAGTATATGATCGAAGTAATGAACAACAAACTTATTTTTTTATATAATATCGAGGTGGTGTCTTGCGTTTAGGACGGACTAGCAGACGTAGTTCTGCTCATTGACCAAGCAAATCTCTAATACATATAGGGATTATGATCCATGAGCATTGGCGGGCTTAAGCCCAAGTAAAGCATAGTTTTGGTCATTAACCAGACAAATCTCTAATAGATATGGAGGTTATGATCCATGAAGATTGACAGGCTTAAGCCCAAACAAGATTAATTAATTGCTTGGACGCCCCCAAGAATCAAATCTAGGACCCCCGGAAGTTTGTTTAGCGTGGTTTCTATTAGGGGGTTGATGAACTACAAACTTACTAATGATTTGTTGAAACACTTGATTCATGAGATGCATAAAGATGCTTTGAGCATTGGAGAGATTGGAAGGTATAACCATCCGTTTGTACAATCAATCTCTTATTTTAAACGCAATAATTCATCTAATAGACTTGTATCAATTTGATGGTAGCCACTTCGCATGTCTTTCTTTAAAAACACAATCGCACCATGAAATTGTTCTGGTAGATCATTGTGGAATGGAGAAATATACTTAGCTAGACGTAATACTCTCCTTCATTAATCCCTTAGCCTTGAATTTAGTAAGACTAGTTATGTTATCTTAACATCATTCTTCTTTCTTACCATGAAAGCTTATGTATGAAGAAAGATGATCTTCTATTACAAGGTTAAGCTTATCAACCATTTTAGTAACCACAATACTATTTGTATAACTACTGTTATCAATGTCTAATATAATTGGAGTTGAACAACATTATAATCCTAGATAGATTTCAACCCTTGATGAGATCCTGCAATTGTTTACTTTTTAAGCACAAAGATGTTGCAAAAGACTTTAAATTCAATCATATGTTCTTGTTGTAAATTAGACATACTTTGCTTTGGACGTTATTCGCATCTTTTCTCAAGCTGCTTCTCCGATCACACCCTTATTTACATTTCAAAAAGCTCATCGAGTGGCACTTCCTTCAAAATTTAGGATGTTAATTTTGACTCTTAAAGCTCCATTTTGGTTGCTTTATGATGCTCGTATTAAAGTAGAACTGCTTCTTCATAATTTGATAAATCATCGTCAAATTGTTGGAAAGTGTTGACAGCTCTTCGTCTTCTTCATGATCAAGTTGTAGAATACACAAAATTGTATAATCAAACCTTATTAATTTAAAATTTGTAAATAAGAAATTACATAAAATAAATTCCTAATTAAAACGATTAGATAGGAAACTCCAAGTCTAATCTAAAATATAACTTCCTATTCAGTGTCATATATATGATGTCATGTTTATGGAGCAATAAAGAGTTTTATAAAAGGGGAACCTTATTTCCCAAATGACCTGCTCCTGCTTCTGCTTCTGCTTCTTAGAATCACAAATCATATCACTAAATTTGTTGTCTTCTGTGTGTGATGTTCCTGTGAGAGACAGACTGAATACAAAAGAGCACATTTTTCGCGTGTTTTGATGTGTATGATCGATCTTCTTGTTCTGCTTCTATTCAGATAGCAACCAGGCAACTTGCGTACATGGATGGAAAGGGAAGATTGTGATTTCTCATCTTCAATAATTGGCTAAGAGTCTCCAGATACCAAATGCACATGGTAGGGCCCATTAATCCTTTCTTTCATTTTTTTTTAATCTAATTTTTCTTGCCAATTGAGCTTTGGACACTGAAAAGACTACTTCAACTTCTTAAAAATTAATTCAAACGTAATAGTATTATAAAAAGTAACATGTAACCTAGTGAATAAGGTGGAGATGCTCTTTGAATAAAGGTTATGCTCTAGCTCTCAATTGAGTTTTAACAATAAATAATTTTAACTTCTGTTAATTGAAAAGAAGTAGGGTTGTGCAAGTCTGGTTTTGGTAGGTCATTAAAAAGAATCGGAATTGAACCAAAAATTCGGTTATTTTATTTTCAGAAATCGGAACAGAGCCAGAATTGAAGGACTAAAGAATCAGAGTCGAACCGAATTAAATTTTCGATACGGTTCATTGGTTTTCAGTTTCGATTCTTTGGTTCTGGTTCCGGCTCCGATTCCAGTTCCAGTTCTCCCATTGAAAATTATTATATTTTTAAAACACATTACAAGATTCCTTTATATAGAAATATTCTAATATCAAAATAAAATTATAATATATGCTAACTTAAAAAAAATCATACTATACTATGATAAACATTAAAAAATAATAATCAATAATGAAGTTTTATTTTTATTCAATGTAAAAACAAGCTCCCATCATTTTTCAAATTCTAAGCAATCTCCAAAGTAATAACATGAAAATTACAAATATCAACAAATCATAATTAACAATTGAATAATTGAGCTTTCTTTCTATTGTCAATAAAAAGAATTTAAGTTCCTACCTTCATTGTAATACGATAAATGTGTTAGTGAAATAAAATTTTTTTAAAGATAAAAAAATCTAAAAACACTTTTTATTTAAATTATAGATATAATAAAATACTATATAAACATTTATGAATTGTCGTATTGTTAAAATATTATATACAATAAGAAATTGAGAGGAATTATTAGATATTAATTTTTTATGCGTGATAAATAATTTTAATTTATACTCCAATTGTATTATTAATTAAAGAATATCAACTAATAAAGTTTTATTTTTAAATAATAAAATTTAATGTCTTCTACAAATAACATAATATAATGAAACATTAAAGAAAAACTATATGGATAAATTGATTTTTTCAATTCGATTTTAATACAGTTTTAGTGTGGTTCTAATACAGTTCTTTATAAGAACTGAAATCAGAACCAAAATAATAAATTGCATTCGTCTTCATACAGTTCGACTTTTGTTATGTCGATTCTTTTTCGGTTACTGTTTGGAACCATGCTAATTAAGCCATAAAATGATGAGCGAATTTTTCTTAAATTAGTCCATTTTGCAAGTGAATTTCAAGAACTTTTATAATTAATTTTTTTTTTTTTTTACCAAATACCCAGCTTAGTTCCATCTCACATCTCTTCTTCTCTAAATTATTTAAATTTCTAATGTGGATAAAACAAAAAATATAAATTGACCTTTGGACTGATGGATTAGGAAGACTTTGATCCATGCTTTTGAAATAAGAAAAGAAAATGGCCCACTCCATCTTTTACTTGTATTAAAAGCCATAATTGATTAAGCGCATTATCTTCAATCATCGTCATGATTGATGCTTATTTGGATTCTTTTCAATTCCACTAAAGCTAGGTGGTTGAACCAACTCATCTAGATGCAAGGAACTCCTGTTTCTCGTGCCATGTGTAAACTGATCTTAGCCTTCAAAACTTCTATCTTGGCGGATATTGCATATTTATGTTTTCATTTATGAAAAAACATGGTAAATAGTCAACAAACTCCGAGACAAATTTGGACAGCCACACAAGTGGACCAACCAGCGAAAAGATTAGGACTCTCTATCATTAATTCAAGCCAATCAAACCCAACAAATATAACAGACAATAAAATATATCTTTTTTTATGACTAAATACATTGTAAATGGGTGATTCTATGCACGAAACACCCTCTATTTATAAGTTTTAAGGAGGGTTAACATATGCAACCTTCCCATTACTCTATTAAAAGGGTAATTTTATACACGAAATATTTTACATTTGTGAGTTTTGGGGAAGGTTGATGTATGCAGCCTTCCCCAATTCTTTTGCACCAAGCCAAAAATTGTTACTCTCCATCCAATCAAACCCACCAAATAAAAAAGACAGCATAATGTCTTTCTCATAATTAAAAGAATTGTAAGTTATTCAACTCTAAGAAAATAAAATGAAAAAAAAAAAAGTCTCCATTACAATCCAATATCTCTAACAATATAGTATCTCCATACAATTTAAATTTATGATGCCTTGTATTAAAGCCCTTATACTGACTAATTTTCTTTGTCCAGCTTTAGTCTCTTCACCATTATGGGTTCTCAATTCTCTAAACAGCTGCAGAGGCGTAAAGCAATAAAAACTGAGAAGAAACTTCTTTGTGATCTTCAGGGAAGCTCCAGCTGCGACACATACCCCGGTCATGACTATCGTCCGGCGGACAGAAAGAATTGGATGGGAGGACTCAACCCTGAAAAGCTTCATATAAACAAGATTGTATGGCCTGGAACTCATGATTCTGCTACTAACAAGATTGGTATACCATTCATTTCCAGGCCGTTTGCTCAATGTCAATCTTTATCCATCTACAAACAGCTTTGCAGAGGTGCAAGAGTTCTTGATATTCGAGTTCAACAAGATCGCCGCGTTTGCCATGGGATCTTGAAAACGTACAGTGTAGATGTTGTTTTAGACGATGTCAAGAAGTTTGTATCAGAAACTCAATCAGAAATCATCATTCTTGAAATTCGGACTGAGTTTGGTCACGAAGATCCACCGGATTTTGATAAATACTTGGAAGAAAAACTGGGAGAACATCTCATCCATCAAGATGATAATGTTTTTGGCAAGACAGTTGCAGAACTATTGCCAAAAAGAATAATCTGTGTTTGGAAGCCACGAAAATCACCACAGCCAAAGCGTGGAAGTCCATTATGGAGTGCAGGGTATTTAAAAGACAATTGGATTGATACAGATTTGCCATCAACGAAATTTGAGAGTAATATGAAGCATCTGAATGAGCAACCACCAGTTTCATCAAGAAAATTCTTTTATAGGGTAGAGAATACTGTTACTCCTCAACCGGATAATCCAATTGTGTGTGTGCGACCGGTGACCAGCCGGATCCATGGATATGCTAGGCTCTTTATTGCTCAGTGCTTTTCTAAAGGATGTGCAGATAAGTTGCAGGTATTCTCCACTGATTTTATTGATGGGGATTTTGTTGATGCCTGTGTTGGAGTTACACATGCAAGAATTGAAGGGAAGGCTTAATATTATTTATTACTATTATTGTTATTGTTATGTATGTAGTTGTTACATTGTTCTTGTTCATAGTTTGTTTTTTGGATTGTGTAATTAGTTTTACAGTATGGAAAAACTACATTATTGTTGGAGACTTGGAGATATTTTCATTTGTCCACTTGTATGTTAATTTATTTGTTTTTGTTTAATGTATTATATAATATAAGTTTTATATTAGTTTGTATAAATATTATGCTTTATGTCCATTTAATACATTTGAGGTGGAAAAACCAATTTGATTTGCTGTATATTCCCTGAGGAAAGAAAAGAATCTCTTGAATTTTTAAGTAGAATATCGAAGTCATGCATGGACTGGGAGCTTTCTTCTCTAACCAATCTCTTATATTAATTATTAAGTCACATCTCCTCCTTTGTCATTCTTTTTCTTTTTCTACTTCTAAGAAAAAAAAATCGCAGATGTGTCCATCGTTCTGAAGTATAGTTTAAATCCCAGAAGTACTTTGCTGAATTAATTTCAATAATCAGACTACTTGACTTTGTTAATCAGGATTTTTATTTTAGAAGTATTGAATCCCACAGGATCAGGTTAAGACCCATTCAATAGTCCAAAAACAGCCTAATCTTGACCATTTCCGACATGAAAGAATGTACATTATGTTTAATCGGCTGCAACAATTAAAGATTAATGTTCAGGAAAATTTTTATATGAATCCCATTTTGCATTAGGTGGCCAATTTACTTAGGAAAATTATGTCAATTGTCTCGTTCATCCAGAAATAAACATGACTATAGTTTCAAAACCACCGGTTCCAAGTATATTAAAGATAAAAATTCAAACTACTTTTAAGCGGTTCCTAAGATGGTTTTAGAACTACCAATTTCAGTTTTACTCTGATTTGGAATCAAAATTAGCTAATTTATTTTAAATTTTTTAAAATTCCTTTTTAGTTTGAATAATAATAATAATAATAATAAAAAATCACTATTGACAAAAACAAACTAATGTAATAAAATTCTTACAAATTATTTAAAAAATTACACTAATAAAACAAAACAATAAATTGAAAATTCCTTAAAAACATATTTTTCATGGTTTCAAACCGGAACTGATTTTAAACTGAAGCTGCCTGTTCCGGTTTGAAAAAGTGAAGAACCAAATAAATACATATTTTCAGTTACGGCTTCAAAACAAGAACTACTGACCACAGTTTAGTGCCGGTTTTGACTAATTTGGTTTCAATTTGGTTATGGTTTGAAACCAAACAGTGGTCGTCCCTATCCAGAAAGCAAAGTTGAACCGCCATAGCTTAGAAAAGACAGCAATCTTCAATGCTAAATAAGAGACATTTGTGTCCACACGGACTTGTAATCAAAGCCAGCATTTGTTTTCTTTCATAGAAATCCAATTTCTTTGAACCTGCCGACTTGATAAACGGTACATGTTGTTTCTACATAATTGATAATTAGTCTTGACAATGGCCATCGATAATGAATAAATTAGAGTTAAGTCAGTACAAGACAAAAAAATAAACAAGAAAAAATGACTTGAGAAACAAAGCATTCCAACCTCTATCTTCTCACCAGTTAAAAAAAATAAATAAATAAGAGAGAGATAATGATGGTCCAAAGGGATCAAGTTCTAGGCAACAATTTACCAGTAACTTTTGCCAAAATTATATAATTCATTCTATAAAACTCAATATATGAAGTATATGAGGTACAACTTACAGGCCCATTTGATCCTAAATTCTGGTATATGGCAAAATCAGAAAACAGACTTGATTTAATTGGCAGTGAGCTTTGATTTACAAAATTTGTGCCTCAACATTTCCTCCAAATGTTGGATAATGGATGAGAATAGTCCTGCAAAGAACAAACCAGAGAGATATAAATATAAGCTATGAACACTTCTATTCAGTGACAACAGTTTAATAAAGGTGCATATGCAGATTAATTTGTAAAATGTTAAGTTTTTTGCGTTGAAAATGCAAATTCAAACAGTAACAATGTACATTTCAAAAAGCTGAGATTCTATCAGCAGGTGCATTTCTTATAGTGTTTTTGGTTTTTGGTTGTTGTTGTCCAACTGTCAAAAAAAGTATATTACTAAAACACGTTAATTTTTGTTACTTCATAGAGACCCTAAAAGTGATTGTTAATTGTTCCACCGTCCCATACTCCAAGATAATACTTTTCAGTATTTGACAACAACCAAAAAAACATAATTGATACCAAATAGATTTTAAGTTAATTCCTTTTCTTTAGCAATTAGTAACAGCTGACATTTGGATACTAAACTACAGGTGCCAGTCGCATCTAAAGAGTGACCATTCAACATTAAAAAATAAAACATAAACCAACAGTTGCCAGTATAAGAAAAGGTGTAAAGTGATAGAAGGCATCCAGTAACACGCTGTAGAAGACTTCTGGTTAACAAAGAGTAAGAAATCCTCATTTTTGTCAGGATGGAAAAGGCATCCAAATGAATGGAAAATTGTAATCTTATGTTGTATGCTGCTCACTTAATTGCAGTTTGGATACTATAAGGCCAAAACCTAACTGCTCTAATAGAAGCAGGACACTGGGCAGAAAATAAGGAGACCTCATATCGTGGTCTTTTAAGTTTTTTGCATCTTGAATCTGCACCCTTGTGGAAATGAGCCAGACTCTATTGCTCCATCAGAAAATGGCCTCTTGAATACATTGTGACAGATTATAATTTCAGAATTTCACAAATATTTTGACAATTGCCGCTCAAACTTATTAGGCAATTAGCTGGGTGAGTATCGGTTGGATTCAAACCATATAGGTAAAGTGGAGCATAATACGGTAGAACCAATCAAAATGACCAGTTCGGTTTGGTTCAGTCTTTGAAAAGTTTAATAAGGTTTGGGTTTTAATAGAAAAATCAAAATTTTAAAGGTTCAAGTCAGTTTTTATTATGTAAAACTGAAAACCTAAAAATCCCCGTTAACCCAAAAATTAAGTCAAAACCAACAAAACTGAATTTTCTTGCAGAAATTTTGGTTTGTACTGGTTCAGTTCAGTTTGAACCGACCCAACTGAATCTCACCCCTACATATGGGCTTAATAGGCAATACATGCTCTATATGGCAGACTGCTCAAACTTACGAAGCATATAGGGAACTAAGATAGTGAGACAACAGTGCAAAGAACTGAATAAGACAATAATGTGATTTAAGGATAGAAGATTTTGCTAAAAGATTGTGGCAAAACAAAGGAAACTACAAGGTTAAATATGTGCCTAGAAGTATAAAGTATATTGATGCTGAGAACAACTACACACTGTCTATCCATCGATTGCAATTTCAAATGTAAGTCACAAGAAGATCACAAAATAGAAGGAAGAAAGAGGGCTGTGAACATGAAACTGAGATGACAAACTGTTATATGACAATAAGCATGCCTCTATATATAGAAAAATGGCTAGTTTATCTACAAGTTTATCTGAATAAAATATGATCTATAAGTGCATTAAATATTTGTTAGCATACAGACACACTCAGTGTAGTAGATAAGGTACTTTCAAAATTTTTTGCAGAAATGAGGAAAAGTAACAGAAAGAACAATTACAGATTTCACAATCACCATAATAATTTAAGATACATATATATAAACAATAGAATTGATCTAAAACCTGAAAGTGGGCTATCTTTATGTTGCAATGATCCTTTTACCAGAAGGGTTCCCGGGATTTGTTGAAAAACCTATAAGAAAAGAATAGTAAAATCATTAATCATATATGGACTCCAGAAATCTAAGCTAATTCAATTCAACCCAGGCAAGGTAAGTATACCGAAACGCGACAACACAAGTTACTTGAAATATTGGATGTCCCTTCCAAAGGATTGCAGTTGTCAATTTCATCACAATGTATCCTTTCATTCTTTAGGATTGCATCACATTGATCATTTGATGCAGTAATCTAACAAAATGAGATTGTACTGCATGTAAGGGCACAGAAATATTACACACCATAAAACAACAGAAAATATCAAGAGTGATAGTTCTTACATCAACAGAAAATGATGTGGCATTTAGTTTACAAGATGCACCACTGGTGCAGAAAAAGGACTCAATGGATTGTAATACATCAATGGCACTGAATTGACGTTGAAGTCCCTGCAAGGTACCCGATGTCACATGAATTAAACCTACACAAATTAAGCGACATATGATTAAAGGCATAAACAAGCCAATCTGAGTATTAAGATGTCAAGCTCAGTCATTCAATTCTAAGCAAGCCTAAGCCTAAGCTTGAGCTTGAACTGAAACGTAACTTTATTATTTAAACTTTTTTAATTAATAATTATCAAACTAGATAAGAGTTCAATATTCTTGAAACCTCATTGTAAACAAAGTTCACATATTTTCAACTATTCCACTTACAATATTTTTTAAATTAATGTGAAAATATTACTTTTAACTCTACAAGACTCTAGTATGAAGCGGGACAATATGTAAAGGAGAACAGCATCCTTCTAACATTATTTTATGGTCAATATAAAAAACTATGGTGCAAATTTCACCTCTTTCTCAATTCTTCTTTTTTTTTTTTCTTACTCGTCTACATATATTCCAAAACATTTATCTTATTCATACGGCATATTAGTGTGAAAATCTCATAACAGAATATAAATTATTAATACTCGCTAAGCTTTTTCATAATGCACACCTTAGTCTTGTGATACTTGGCTGAACCTAATTATTGCCCTATGTATCCCCATATGGAAATGTTATATTATCCAGTTAATTTTGATGATATTGAAAAAAACTAACAAGAAAGAGTGTGTGTTTGTGTGTGTCTGTTTGTGAGTGACAAAGGTATAATATCCTAACCTCAAGTGTGAAAGAGAGGATACTCTTTTCTGCTACATGAGGTGATATTATCTTCTTGGTAGGAGACATAAAAGACCAAGCAAGCCCCCATCGACATGTTTGTCCCTGGACAAATTCAGTTGTTTTTACTATGGTGACTCCAACTTCCCTAAGTTTCGACATTAGAAACTTGAGATTTTTTTTCCTTCCAACCATTGAAGTGTACCACCTAAAATGGAAAGTTAAAAAAAAAAAATAAGAAGGCATACTTCATAGTGAAGACCATCTTCACGCTGAAAAGTAAAAAATAGGACTTGCAGACAAGAGTCAAACCTGAAGGAATCCTTTAGTACTGCACTATCTTCAATGATTCGAGAAATAAAAGTCTTTTCTCCACCAGGACAAACCATCTCTTCAGGAGTCCCACCACAAGAAGTTTTTGGGTTTAGTCCCGCTTCCTCCATGGTCTCAAAAAATGGAGGATTACACATGCAGAAGTCAAACTTCTCATCATCCCTGACCACACCAAGAAGTACAGGTGGTCTGTTATAATTCCTATTTGCATCCACCGGCAAAGCAAATGACCCTGCCTCCTCAACCACACTTCTATCCATACCCATCTCACTTCCACCGTTTACAGATTCTAAATTATGCAAATCTTCAGCAGAAAAGGTGACTTGACAGTTTGCAACCTTTCTAATCTCAATTAGTTCTGAAATATGAGGATTATCTTTAACATTTCTCTCTGCCCATTCTAGTGCTACATCAGTTACATCTGCAGACAAGTTAGGCACCAAAGTTCCATATGCATCATCTTTTATATAAATCAATTATGAAAGAGTCCTCTCTAAGAAACAATTAGAGAAAAAAAAAAAAAAGGCTACCTGATCCAACAAAACTCCAGCCTTTAATAGATGCACCAAGGAGCGGGTAAATGCAGTTTGCTCCAGTGCCTATATCAAAGCCTCTCACAATCTCTCCATTAGCATTATTCTTCGGAATGATATCAGAGGAAAGAAGATCTTCAATCCAATGGATGTAATTGGATCTGTTTGGAACTGTAGGGCAGAGCTGCCCATCAGGAATCCACCTAGAAAGATTGAGTTCATCTAAAAAATTATAACAAATGCAATCCCCAAGAATATTACACCTCAAAAAAATTTATATATGAAATTCCCACCATATAAAAGCAGTTCATTAGAGCCAAAACACAAACAAGATTACAATTATGTCAGTCAGCTTCTAGCTTCTAAAGTAAAATTCACATAATTAAAACACTAACCGATAACTCAACAAGAACATCAAAAGTAAATGCAACCAAATGGAGCCATTCAACTTAAATGAGATCATTTAAAGAGTGATAAGAGAAAAAAAAAATTACCAATTGAGGCCGTGATCGTGGAGGAGAAGGATCCGAGTGAGTTCTCGAGTTGAGTTAAAGTCGGTCCAATCAATTTTGGGTCTACCGTCGCGAGAATAGAAGACGAAGGGTTTAAAAGAAGGATGAAGAGAAGCTAAGAGAGCGAAATCAGGTGGGTTCTCTGCGTATTTGTTTTTCGGGTGGATTGTGGGTCGCTCTGGTCTGTTTCTTTTCCTGTTCTTCTTGCTCGGCATTTTTCTCTGTCTTTTCGATTTCTGAGGAAGAAAAGCTAAATGGCGGATGAGCGGCAAGACAAATGGCTAACTGCGGCGGTATGGAAATCAGTCAGCACTTAGTATCAAAACGATTTGTCGTTTAGAGAAGCAGTGACCTGCTCATGAGCCCGGCCTTAGCACAAAAATTTTTAGGTGGCTAATCATTGTGTATGCATTTTGACTGGGCTGTCTTGGACTTATTCAGAATATGCAAATCAAATTAAGCCCAATCCGAACGCGCAAACATCTCTTAATTATATCAGAATCCCTTTTCGGGAGGAAATTCTATAGCAATTAAAAAAAAAAAAAAAAAAAAAAATTTTATATGTATAAATCAGATTAGTGTGAATAGTAGAGTAGGTCCTTCTCTTTATAGGTTTTAATAAACCTAATTAAAGATGTTTATTATAAAAAATTATAAATATTAAGGAATACTCCATTGATATCTATTACAAAAACTCCATGCCTTTTAATAGTATGCTCAATGTGAGCGGTGGTAAATGCTCAGTTGCTATTCTCCTAGTGGGTTCCTTAATGTTATCTCATATAATCTGTCCTCTTCTTATCCACAATCTCTTCAATTTAGACATTATTTTCTTCGGTTGAATAGGATATCAGAGGAAAGAAGATCTTCAATATCTCAATTTATGGAGTTATTATTGGATATATCTGGTATTTGGATACTGTCCAGTGAGACAAGAGGATAGAATATTCCACCTCACGTAATCAGGCCTAGAATAACGATTGGGTGAGCTATTCAGGTCTTAAATTAATGATCTTTGGTATTGGTATTTAATATCAAGTGCAAGTAATCCCCAAGGATATTTTATTATACACCTCAAAATATAAATTCTATATGTTTTATATATGGAGATTATATTTACTCCACTTACCTATTATTAAAAGCAGTCTTTTCATTGTATAGAAGAGCTCATAATAAATCACAATCATGAAATAGGTACAATTTTATGTCAGGCGTAACTTAGCTTGGGCTAGTTTCATACTAAAGTTGTATAATTCACTATAATTAAGAACATCTAATGTCGATATACTAACAATATGACATCAATCTCAAATAAAAGTGGCAAGCGTCAAATTGTGAGACCATATATCTAACTTAAAATTGAGATCAATGGTAAGTTTATGTTATTAACGTGAAGATTAAAAATAAGAATTATTTAGCCAATTGATTGGCCGTGTGAATCGTGTGAGTCTGAGAGGATTCCTGAATAAGTGGAGTTCTTTCGATGTTTTGAGTAAAGTCTCTGGTCCAATACAATATTTGGTTGGCGGTTCTTATCCGTCGCTCTCGTGTGAGAATAATGGAAGACGAAAGGGTTTATAATAGTATGGATGGAAGAAGTAAGACTGAAGAGAGTCCGATAAATATTCAGGTGGTTTGTAGTTCTACTTAATAGATATCCGATGTTTGTTTTAATTCGGTTAGGAATGGATTTAGTGATGTTAACGATCCTTCTGGTCTGTTGTCCTTTTCCATGGTTCTTCTTTGCTCGGGCATTTTTCTCTGTCTTTTCGATTTGAGAAGAAATTATGGGCTATATAATTGGTTCTGGTTCTGTTTGGTGAAGGATGTGAGCGGCTCTGAAAGGACTTAATTATGGTGAGCATATTAATGCTGGTCGGTATGTGATAATCAGTCTTTAGCACTTAGTATAATATCTAAACGTATTTGTCCGATCTGGTAGAAGAAGGCATGACCTGGAGCTCATGATAGGTCCAACTAGGTCCATTTTAGTGTCATCTAGAAATTTTATTAGGTTTGTGACTATGATCATTTGTGTAATATGCATTTTTAGACTGGGCTTTGTACTTAGTAAGATACATATATTTCAAGAATATGCATAACTAAATTTCGAAAGCCCAAAGCCGCGACGGTCACTAACTATGCGTCTAAGATAATATTCAGAATACCCTTCTGGAGATGGAAATTTTCTTGGATAAGCAATTTAAAAAAAACAAAATAATAGAAAAGAAATCAAACTATTCCTCATTCAATCTGCTGTTAACCTTCTAAAACCTACTCTTATTGTATTTCAATTTCTTTTGTTTTATCCGGGCACGGACAGCCACGCGAATTGAAGTTTCACTGGAGAGGTGCACCGGTTTATATCTTATTATATATTTCCTGTTTTTTTTTTTTCTTTAGATCAAATAATCTCTATAGACTTGTGACGCGTTGGGTAATTTTGCATTTTTATTCGTCAATCAAATGTGTGAAATATTGAATGATATACTATTAACCAATAGTAAATGAGGATTATTTGTCTCATAATCTAATCTTGACGTGATTGTTTGTATTCAATATTATTGGGTTTGCATCCTTCCTGTTGGGTCTAGATTTTCTTTTATTGATTTGGTTTGATCACCATTATGGGTGAGGTTTTTTGGAGTGTCTAGCAATTCTTGAGTCATATTGAGATAGTTAATGCCGTAAAGATTTTTTTAATTTTTGTGTTTTTCATTTCTCTTATTGAATTATATGAAAGGTATAAGAAATTTGATAGTAGTATTAATCAGCATCAGACTTGTAGGAAATAAGTTTTCATCTTTCGGTGAGATGTGACCTTATTTCTTTGGTTTTCGGGAAAATCGAGTTGTGACCATTGATGGAGCCTAAGTTGGGAGCAAATGCAATTATTCGCATTTCACTGGATGACAAGAGTATATATGTGCATGTGCATCGTCCTAACTTTTGATGGGATAACAGGTATGCTCTAAATACATGATAATGGATTTTTTTATATTATGTATAGGTAAAGTTGAAATTAAATTAGATTTACATTTTTTATATTTATAGGGACAATCATTATGTTTGATTTTTAGTATTAAAAAAGTGAAATATTTTATAAATTGACTGAAGGATAGGTATATTTAGAGTGTATTGGTGGGATTGTTTATTTTTTATCAATCTTTTGAATACTTTTTTCTCTTAATATTATTCCATGTCTCTATACCTTTATTCACATTTTTGGCGAAATGAAGAGTTCTAAACATAAAAATGGTTAAATATAATAAGTGTACTATGAAAAGAATTGTCTTTATATCATTTACTTATTGATCAAATCGGTGTCCGTACTTTTTCTCCCAAAAAAAAAAAAAAAAAAAAAAAAATCAAATATTCTCTCTTTCACTCTTAACCTAAAACCTCTCTTTTGTTTTCTTTTCTTTTGTTTTCTTCCACGGGCAGCCACCGTTGAGTTTTCACTGGAGGTCACCTTTTTCTTTTTTATTTGTTTTTTTTTTTTTTATAAATAATCTTTAGATTTGAGTTATTATCGCTCAAATGTTAAATATTGAAATTTACTATTAACATATATTGAGATTTTGTTCTCAAATCTAATTCTGAGTTATTGTTATCAATATTATGGTGATTTTGTCTAATTTCTTTTATTATTGTTATCACCATTATGGTGATTTTGTCTAGCATATTTTATTATTTGGATAGTTATGCAGAAAGAAATGTACATTTCTCAATAAAAGGAAGAAATTTGAAGATAATCAGATCAGACTTGTAGAAAAATCATGGAGTCGAACAGTGACCATGACCAAGTGGAGCAAGCAATCGCATATGATACAAATATTATGCCATGTCAACTTGATACTTCAAATACAGATAATGTTTTTTTATTATTTGTATAGGTAGTTTATTATTAGATATACATTTTTTAATTAATGAAATTTATAGTTTGATTTTTAATTAAAAAATAAAATATTTTATAAATTATGAAGATAAAAAATTATTTTTGATTTTTTTTTTTTATCAATCTTTGTACTTTTTCTCAACTTATTCTCATGGCTCTACCTTTATCATTTCAAATGAATTTAAAATAAAAAAAAAAAAAGTAAAGAATAAAATTGTTTTATTCAATTTACTATTATTAAAAATGGTTCCGGTTCTTCCCAAACAAAATTGATATAAGAATTATAGTTTGTTTTTTTTTTTCAAATTTCAGAACCGGAATGTAACAAAATGAATTAAAAATTTAAAACCCAAAATCAGAATCAAATTGGAATGCAATTCGGTTCCCATTTAATTTTTTGGTTCCTCGATTCTATTTTAGATTCCAGTTTTGTTCCCCTATTAAAAATTATTATTCTATTGTTTATATTTATATTGATACCATATTCTTTTAAAAAAAACTTTAATATTGAAATAATTTAATAAACTCATTCATAATAATTAATCACCACTTACAAGTTGCAACATCTAACTATCCATTTTGATTCTTATCATGATTAACTTTGTATCTTCGTATCTAACTTTCATCATAAGAAACAAAAAACAGTAAGTTAGAAGGAAAAAAAACTATAATATCGAATAGCCAAGAGCATACAATTTATTTCATGTAAAATTTTAATTATACCTAACTCCCAATTTTCAAGTTTTTTCATGCTCTCCTCTTTCTCTCTAGCCTATTTAACCTTAGTTTTTGTTTGGAGTTGCTGCTGTTAATCAACAATAGTCCCCTTATCCTTATTTTCATTATTTTCTTCTCACTTCTAATCTCTTATTCATTTTTAATAAACTCAAATATATTTTCTTCTAATAGATCTGTATTTTTTTTATTTTTTTTCTATTATTGATTTATTTCCGTATTTGGAGTTCTTTTGTTTCTTCTTTCGTGAGAATTTAGTTCATTCTTTGTAAAGATTTGTTATTAAAAAGTATGATATTTGATTGGAGAATTTAGATATTATTTTATTGATGTGTATCTTCAATTAATAGAGAATGTTAGTATGGTCTGTTCCTCTATTGTGCTATTAACGCATAGTGACATGAACTCATCCGTGAACGTCATATGTAATAAGTTTTTGGAAAAACAATCCAAGCATAGAAGATCCGAAGAAATTATTTTGTCTTCCAAATCAATTAAAAGACCAGTTGCTACTATTGAGATTTATATCTGTGAACGTCATATGCAATAAGTTTTTGGCAAAACAATTCAAGCATAAAAGATCTGGAGAAATTATTTTATCATCTAAATCAATTAAAAGACCAGTTGCTACTATTAATATTTATATCGGTCAAGGTCATCGTCAAGCGGAAAAATTCAATATTGTTCTTTTAATTTTTTAGTTTTATTATTCAAAAGAATATAGATAATTC